GCGGTGGTGGTTGGCTAGATATGGACATGTGGCATAGTATGCTTGCCTTAGAAGTAGTGGCATTGTGTGTAATTTTGATATCTTTTAATGATATTTTTGTAAAATTAAGTACTACATTTTGGTCTTTGGCCTTATACTAATTAGATGAAATTGTATTCCTATCTTCCAAATTAGTAAACTATATTGTGTTTTAAAACTAAAGCTCTCTATTTTCTATCTATATACTTATGAAGAAATCTAGATCCTATCCTATGTCCCCAAAATGCTTGTGCCCTTCTCGTCCCCTTGATCTTGCTCTAAATTCGGTCGATGTGCACATTGATAATTTGTTGATACCTTATTGTCGTCGACGTGTTTCCGATAAATTTTTGCCAATATCAATATTGGAGTTTTTATTTACAGACCCAAAAGGAGGAAAAAAAAAAGTTATAAGCACAATTTAATAGTGGATCATCAAAATGCAGATTAGATCAAGTTCTCCAATGAAAAGCATGGCTCGAGAAGTAATATATACAAGAGGGCCAATCATTCATGGGAAACCAAAACTACTTGTTTTCCAACATTTCTGCCACTAAAAAGTCCCACAAGAGCTGCTGGAGCACTCTCAAGGCCTTGAGTTATGTCTTCCAGATATACTATCTTTCCTTCTCTGATGTATGGTATGACCATGTCCAAGAAATTGGGATACAGATGGAAATAATCGAAAACAACAAAGCCTTCCATACGGATCCGATTGTAGATTAGAGACAGAAGATTGCTAAAGCCTTGTGGCTGGTTGAGATTGTAATGTGAGATCAATCCACACACAGAAATTTGACCATGAGGTCTCATATTAAGAAGCACAGCATCCAGCATTTTTCCTCCAACATTCTCGAAATAAATGTCAATGCCTTCAGGGAAATGCCTGCATGTGAAATATTTTGATTGATGATTTTGTCTATTCAATTTCTGATATGTATTGTAAACTTCTTCCAAATCCAACATAGATCAATATATATACACATATAGTTATATAACTGACCTTTTCAAAGCAGCATCAAGGTCTTGCTCTTCTTTATAATTAAAAGCCTCATCAAACCCTAGCTTGTTCTTTAGTAGATCGACCTGAAAACATAATGGGAAACTGTATAATATATATATATATATGCACTTCGACCTTTTTTGCTTGCAACAAGACTTGTACAAAATTTGGCCTCTCTATGCTTTAATGCTTATATTATTATTATTATTATTCTTTTCTAAATGATAATGCTAACTCACCTTCTCTTTACTTCCAACACTTCCAACAACATAACACCCCATCAACTTTGCAAATTGCCCTACAAGCTGGCCAACTGCACCAGCTGCTGCAGAAATGAACACACGATCTCCTTTCTTAGGCGAACAGACTTCATGAAAACCTGCAAAGGCAGTCATACCCGGCATACCTAATTTCGAAAACAAAATGATTACAACTAAAGAAAAGAATATATTGATTGTACAAACTTATGACTCATAGTTTCATGAAATGAGCAACAGCAAACACACCAAGAAGGCCAGTGTAGTAGGACACGGGCACATCAGTGTGGTGGATTTTAAAGAACTGTTCTGGTTCTGTGATAAGACTATACTCTTCCCATCCTGTTGTTCCCCAAACCAAGTCACCTTCCTTAAATTCCGGGTGCCCAGAATCCAAAACCTTAGCGACTCCAAACCCGCTTAGTGGCTGCAGGATCACCAATCAAATTAATACCGCAAAAAGTTGTCTTTTGGAAAGAAAAAAATTGAATTATTTATTTTCAAACATTGCATTTAATGAGTTTAGTTCTTCTCAAGTATTTGAGCAAGATAAGTTTATTGAATTTGAACCCTTTAAAATATTGCAATGTTCTATTCTGAGTACTATGATTACATGAACTAGAATCAGGGAATAAAAACTTCATGGATACTCCTACTTTTCTAGGGAACCGAACAGAAAATCAAGAAAGCCGAGAGAGAGAGAGAGCTCACAGAACCAGGAGTGAAGGAAGTGAAGACATTAGAGCCTTGAATTCTACCCATTCGGATCCTCAAATAAGGGTCACATGACAAGTAGAGGTTCTTGAGCAGCACTGCTTTTGAGCCTTGAGGAACCTTGAGCTTTATGGAACTGGTTGTCACGTACATGTCTGACTCTTTGGGATTGCCAGACACATAGTCCTTCAATATCACCTGCTTGTTCCTAACTTCCTCCACGCCACTCGCCATTGCTGAACCAACCAAAGCTTTGTCTCTGTGGAAGCCTCAGTTCCTCTTCCTCTGTTTCTTTGAATAGAATATGCTTATCAAGTTAGCTTTTCCAACAGTTTCTGAATGAATTTGAGGTCTTATATGATGACACGTGTATGAATCTATGACTTCCATTTCCATTTATCCTCAAAGAAAGCATCGGCCTGGTTTTCATGATAGAGTCAAAGAAGAAAATTACAGCTGTCTAGAAAGGTCGATGCTGGTAATTATTTAATTTGGGTTGTTTTGATCAAGGTCTAAAATATCGAGAGTTTCAGAAATATCGATGGTCCAAAAACACGGATATATCGATGGAAATATCGATATCGATAAAAATTGAATAAAAATCAAGGAAATTGTGAGAAAAACTCGGAAATTTTTATTGTAACTTTAGAGGATGTTTATTTAGTCAATTGTCTATTATTTTATCACAAAAAATTGGAATAAAATGCATGGCATGGTGGGTTTGAGTGATTTAAGTTGATTATGTAGTGACGTGACGAACACTGTGTCTTTAGAAAATATGTAGTAATTAGTGAAAGAAAATTAAACACACCATAATTTTTTAGTTATAATAATTTACTACAATATATTACATATGATAATATATATGAGCTTGGAAAAAAAACAAAAATAAAATATATGCGTAACTCAGTACCACATAGAAAGAATTCGTTAAAACTTAGTATCACATATAATGAACAATATTAAAACTCAATAGTGAATAATAATACAACTCCATAATATATAACCAAAAACAAAAAAATACAACTCCATAATAAAATAATAAATAACATTAAACATATGCCTAAATTTATCATTAGGGACTTTTTTTTTAATGGAAATTTATCCTAGATAATATTAGCTTGCAAAAATTTTAAAGACCATATAAATATTACACGTCGTAGCTTTATTAACAAACTTGTCCGCAGCATGATGGATAAGGCTCAGTAGGTGGATTTAAGACTGTGGTTAAGATAAATTTGTTCCTCACATAACCTCATTTTTCAGATCCTTATGTGAGCATGACTCATCTTATTTGTGGCTTATAATTTAGATTAAAAACTAAAAGAGAGAGAGAGAAAAAAAAAAACAAAACATCAACAGCCCAAAGTAAAAAGGCCCAAGAAACTCAATCCACTCCTTGCCACGTGCGAAGGCTTTGTCTTTTATCAAACACACACTCGAAGACGCTCTCACATCCCAAAGCCCTAATCTCTGTAAACCTAAAATCCCCAATCTCCTCTCTTTAGCTTACGCACATACAGAGATAAAGCCATGACGGCGAGGATCTGGACTTCCTCCTGCCGCCGAAGCAGGTGATTAGGCCCGATGAGAACGGGATCAAGAAGGTGATAGAGTACAATTTTCATTTATTTTTCAGTTTCATATCGCGATATTATCGATATTATCAATAATATCACGATATAATGCCCAAATAAAGCATGAAAGAGTAGGAAATTATCGCCTCCGACACTATCGCGATAATATCGATGAAAATAACGATATATTAACAATAGTTAAATGGATATGTGCTATAATGTCGTCCATTAAAAAAAACGATATTATCGGCGATATTTCGCCGATAATATCGATATTTAAGACTGTTTTGATTCTTTAATGACTAAAAGCGCTTTTTTTTATACCTAAAAACATTTATAACAATATTTGATAGAAAAACTTAAAAGTGATTTTGAGCCATTCCAATTGACTTTTCATGAAATACTTGAATTCTAATAGAAGTACTTCTAAAAAAAACATTTATGACCATAAATATTTTCTACATAAGCAGTCCTAAACAGGGGCATTGATACCCCTCTTATTAAAAGAAAAGCGTGTATGCGTCTGCAAAAGTCACGACTTTCTTTGCACAAATAGAGCCCTCAAGTTCTACAGAAAGGTTGTCATGCACGAGTGGCGTACGTCTTTCTTTGTTTTTGTATTTGAAATACAGAGAGCCACAGAAGATCTGGTAGATGGGATTTGAAATGTATAGAACAAGATTACAAGGCAGTCTTAATCTGCTGCATATAAATGATGCCCTAGGAATTTGTTCATCTCACTTGTTTGTTACAGGAGGAAGGTAGAAAAGAAAGACAATCTTTCATAAACATCAATGTTTCTGTTTTTCTATTGAAATGCTAGAAAACAGCAAATATTTACATCATTGTTGAACACACTGTACAGTGGAATGTGCATCTCAAACAACATAAACATATATATCCTGAATTTGAATCTCTGTAATGCTCCTGCTTGTTTAGTTTCACTGTACATTTCTTTTTCTCACAACTCACTAGCAATCCAACAAATCTAACTGTGGACAGCAATTTGATTTAGAAGAGTAACATAATAACTTCAGGCATACAATTTGACAGAGAGGACTCAATTCGGAAACGGCAAAACGGCAGAAACAGTATTACAACTCCCACCTTGAAAGTTCTAGAGACGAATTTTGGTTTTTTTCTTTTTGTTTGTTTTGCAGAGGTTCTGTCATCATACCATCCTCCAGACATTGGGGCTATAAAAAGTCATAGTGAATTGGGACGTTAATTGCACAAACTGATCAAATTACTGTCCAGCTCTACAATTTACCAACCAAAAAGATTTTCGTGGAAAACTAGGAACACTAATTACACATTTTACCACCTTACATGGTTTAAAAAAAACATGCAAAAAAAGAGGGATCAAATAGGCATTACCTTCGAGAAGCAAAAGCAACTTGAATACACTAAAGTAAACTTATGCTTCACCAGAGTCTTGGGCTCCCTCAACTGTGTTCTCTTCAAACAATGGCTTTTTTGTGGCTCTATCAACTGTGGAGACTTCTTCCTTACCATCTTCATTAAATTTGTCTGAATTGCTAATGAAGATCCCTGAAAATGTAATACAAGCTTATTAACCTCAGCACTGTTTAGAAAGATTCTCGCTCACGTAATAATACCAGTTTGAACAAGTTATTATAAGGGAGTTTCACTAAAACACCCAAAATGGGGGCTGAAATTATAAAAAAAACCCAACACCCAAAACACTTTATAAACACACCCAAAACCTATCATTACACACTCAAAACTCATTTATAAACACACCCAAAAAATTGTTGATTTTGGGTGTGTTTCTATGTTTAAATAGTGTTTGGGTTTTTTTATAAATACATGTCTAGGATTGGGTTTATTTATAAATTTGTATTATTATAACTAATTGTCCTTCACTAACCTATGAACCATATTCCTGATGCAAAAAACAGAACAGACGTCACAACAAGAGTTGTTACCCTCCAATTGTTAACATGGTCCTGCATATGAAAAGGACAAAATCCAAAATAGGAAAAAGGAACAGGGTAAGGATGCTAAACTGACAAGACTTTATATGAAAATTCAGCCCAAGGCCGAACAGTGGAGGAACCATAAGTGAACTTTATAACAACTAACATAAAATAATGATATTACACAGTAGACAAAAACCAATTAGATGATGTAGTTATTCTTGTTATCAAGTGACAATAAGAGGTAAGTTTGAAGATAGAAACCATGCGATCCTGCAACATAATTAGCTGCCATTCCTTTTCAGTCTAGAAAAGACAATGTTGAAACAATAGAGTTAGACACAACAAACCCTCCACCCTCATTTGTTAAAACAAATAAGGGGTCCAATTAACTTTATCATCCCCTCTCCATGAAACTGCATTTAAGTGTGATTTTAAATTGGTACAGATATTCTTCTCTAAGTGAAGAAAAAAGCCTCGTTTTCTGAATCTGCTCATCTTTAGCTTCATAAATTCATTTACTATATTTCAATAAATAAAAAATCATTAACTATATGATATCAATATAATTTTGCTCTTGCATGCACAAGCTGAATCAAAAAGTTCACTTTCAGATCCACACTTCTATTCATGTACCACGATGAAGTTGCAGCACTTTTCTGCCCATTCATTCCAATTTATTGGACTATTCATTTAAGTCATATGAGCTATTTTGTTAGGAACCCCAACAGTAACTTCTTTATTATATTGATAATCAATGCCATTCTCTTGCTGAGAGTATAATGTCTGGAAACTGCTTTTCCAAATACCAACAGTATAGTAGAAATTATCATATCAACTAAATATTAGCAGTAATCTCCACTTCCTCAAAATATGATACAGAAGAGAACTTTTAAGGCACACCTGGAGGATTCCAGCAAGAGGTGAGGAAGGAACATCACCAAAGATGTGGATTGAAACAGTTGAGACAGCCATAGACAATGGCCTAAGACTTGGTTTCACGCATCGCAGAGACACATAATTAACCGGAGCCTGCCAAGGAAAAGTGATTAACAGGCCAAAGAATATATCAATTAATCAGGCAGATATCATACTAAGCAGCAAAAGTATCCAAAAAGGTAATATCAAATTGTAATGGTATGTTATATTAATTAGCAAGCACAGCATGCAATGAAACCACCAACTTTCAACCCAACTTGTAGAATTTAAGATTACCTGTGTGGCAAACACAAGTAGCTCCCCCATTGAGAAAAGAACTACAAAAAAATACAAGCTCCTTACACAGAAGGCACTGAAGCAAAAGATTGCACCTAGAATTGTTGCTCCAGAGAGAAGCTGTGGAAGAAGCAAAGGGTTTCAACAGTACATTCTGATCAATCTTATTAAAGAAGACATTTTGGTGTCGTACCCCCAGGTCACAACCAGAACTCACCTTAAAAGCATTATTAATTGTGGCATTCACTGAATCAAGGATGAGCCCTCCAGCTAACGTCCCCAGGATTCCACAAACAATTGTAATACCACCAAACAACAAATCTGGATTACTCTGTCAAAAGTTCCAATGAACGAGAATACCGTCAGAGTAGTTAAGAATATTTTTTTAATTCAAGCATTTTTAGAATATTATTTTCTTTATGTTAGACTATAGTTATTATCATCTGTATTATAATATAACTAGTAAAAGCATTGCTAAGGTGAAAGGCTGATCACACAAGCCTAACCTATTCAGCTATTTCTAATCTCCCTTTTTCTTCTACTTATTCTTCTCTCTATTCACTCTCTAATCCAGCAACACACAACTTAACTATCAATGGGCCAAAGTAAAAGATCACCAAAATAACAACATGTTTGATACAGAAGGTCAAAATTTCAGTTTCCTTTTAACAAGTTACGATGACTTGCATTGAAGAAAAGGTAAATGTGTGACCAAACAAAAGGGAAACATTACAAATAAATAATATAAAATAAAATAAAAAAGAATAAGCAAAGAGCTATACCATACGATAAATGCTATAACCAGCCTTTGGCCCCCAGTATGAGTAGGCTCCAATGACAAAGTTGTATGACACATAACCTGCCAGTCAATTATATTGTGAACGAAAAAATTATAAAAAACCTGTAAATATAATAAATAGTAACCTTAGTAAGCACTCCATGAGAAATGTCTCCAATTAAATTAGTAAGGCAATAAGATTGCAAAAACTAACACAGATAGATATGTGAAAACATGATCAAGATCAATAAGACGTAAGGATCATTGAATTGATATTTCATTTATTTACATTCAGATAAAGATCTGAAAAACTTGAACAGACAAATAGAGATTAAGGAAATACCTAAAATATTAACAACATAAACTTTATCACGCAAAAGTTCTTTCATATCTTTTGAGAATCTTGAGAGTTGGTTCAAAGATTTGGATGCAGGGCTTGACCTGAAATACACAGAAGGAAGAACAATCTAACAATATTAGAAAAATCATTTAAGGATGTTAGATGTGTACTACACCTGCCTCCCAACCCCACCTCAATATTGAGTCTGCCAAGCTGAAATTTTGAAAAGTTTAAATTTTTTATTTTGGGCTGATTAGGAGGCTAATGCTAACAAAATACACAACAGCAGACTACAAACGAACCAAGCAAGGTCCAACGACATCAGCCAAAAGGAAAAAGAGAACAATGCTCTTGTCACATCTTCCTAATGTGCCCATATCTGAAATTGCAAGGGCATTTAAAATGCAAGTACACCTGGTAATGTTCAGCAAGTTTTCCCAGTTGACATAGAACAGATTGTTAACACTTCTGTGGTGGGCTAATAATAGAAAAACATATGATAGTTTATGATGGTGTAAGATCAAGGACTTACACCCAAGTTGTAAGTCCTTTCTTGCCCTTTAAACTATTATTACATACACAACTTGTGTGTGTGTTTCTCTGTTTAAAACCATTGGGAATTTAATATTTCTCATAGTTAGGAAGAACAGTGCAGATAAACAGGTAACCGGGGAAAAAGCTCATGAAAAAGATGGATGCAATCACAACTTACCTAGAAGCTTTATCAGAGGAAACTATCACACAACTATTTATGTTTGAGACATCTGAACCTGCAGTTAGAAACTTATCAGAATTTCACAAAATAAACTCTTTAAAAAACATACAGAGTTGGAGAACAATAAGATTTTGAAAATTTTCAAAGAATCGGCAAGCACTGGATGAAAATCTAAAATTCACAGTATGTCATCACACATAAGTATAAACAGAATTATGCAACCTTGGATTGGGAACATTAGAAAAGAGGTTGTACTCTGTAAAGCTGGCATAACGTTTTACTGTTAAGTTGAGTTTCTGTATAACAGTACCACAACAGAAATGCCCCAATACTACCATTGATAGTCATTACATTAACCATCTTAGATCCATCGAAAGTTCCTGTCTTATACAGTTGCATTTTAGGAAAAGGTACAACGTATCTGATTATATAAATCCAACATAATATTGAAGCTGATTCCGTTGCTCACAAATAGATAGCACAGATATTGCGCAGTATCCTACAAAGGGATTTGCATCCTACACGGCCTCCATATAGGTAAACTTTTATAAATCACCCTAAACTACTAGTAGATGACAACACAGTAGCTGTTCTTGACCCACTATGAAGGCCACTCTTGAGCTAAAAGATAAACAGTATAATATTTTCTTTTTCAAAAATGTAAATCAACTTTGCAGAACAATAATAGAACATGAAATACCTTCAATTAAAGGAGCAAAACCTAAAGTTACCAGTTGTGTTAAAGGTTAAAAAAATGAGAACATAAGCTTCTTTATCTCAGATGATGCATCACAGATTCACAAAAAAACAGACAAAAAAATGCACCTTTCAACTGCAATGGATTCATCGCAAAAGCCAAGACAGCAAATGGAAGCATACAAAATGCCTCTCCCCAGAATGCATATCGCCAACTGAAATTGTCTCCCACCTAAACATTGAGCCAAAGCAAAATATCATTACGCTGAGATATCTCCCATGCTACCAATAGAAAAATAAAATTACCATAACTGATAAAAAAATTATAGTACACCAAAATAAGCTCACTGTATTAGCTTCTAAACTATGGTCACACTAAAATTTGTAAAAGCACCAACAACACTAATAAATACACAGGTAAAAGACCATTTCTGAAATAATACTTACTAAGTTAAAAATAAAATTAGGTTTATATATGAACAGAAATTCAGAAACTACAACATGCAGGATAACATCCACAAGATATATTTGGTTTGTATGGTAGACTGAACGCTTTTCCATGCCCATAGCCAAGAACACATTTTGAAATTTCACAAATTGCAGTGAAAATCAGTTGCCTTTACGTGGCACTCAGAAGTGTGAACTAGCCATTATCTTAGTACAGGGAAAGAAACCTTAAGTTAAAACACAGGGATACATGGAAATTTCAGGAGTGAAGGGAACCTTCAAGAGCAGAAATTATTGCATGGCATTTCTTGCAAGGAACAACATAAGTTATTCAAATTTTTTCATTGGTTTTGTACATTGGGAGGAAAGTAGAGGCCAGCAGTCCTCTAGATGTGTGAACAGCGTTATTATGTGAGGTGATTGGACCAAGTGCTTTTGATCAAAGAATGCTCGCCCTTGAGCAACATTCATAACAGTCGACTCTTTCAAAAAGGAGATAAAGGCAAATGAAATTGCTACTATGAAGGTAAACTGACAAACTGACATCGGTTTTCAAAAAATATGTTTGCAAATTGCACCTGTATCTAAAAACTGATGAAAACTCAACCAACAGACTTTATATATTTGATGAAAAAAAAATAGCTTTCCAAATGTAAAAACTTACAAATCCGCCATAAACATAGCCCACAGCAATTCCAGTTGGTATACACATGTAAAACATTGCAAGCCATGCTGTTTTCTGGACCCACAATTAACAAATATTCAGCATAATTATGAAAATAATCAAGAAGATATATTAAGTTTTGCCTTCCTGGGAAACATTAAATTTTCTGAGCATAAAAAATAATAGAGAGGGATAAACAGGAGGGAAGCCAACCTGAGGTGCAGGAGCATGGTCATCAATGAACGGCGCTGCAAGACTTATGAAAGATGCCTCACCAACTCCAACCAGCCTAGAATGGTAAAGCCCAATTATTAACTCACAATCTAGTACAGAAGATGATAATGATGAAGACAATGGAATGAAGACAAAATTCTAAAAATGGAGAATACCAGAAAGATTGTTACACTCACATACGACATATTGCAATGGTCCAAAAATCAATTGAACTTCCACACCCAGCTGTGGCAAATGTCCAAACAGATAATCCAACTCCAATCAGCCTAAAAGGATTGTGGCTGCAAAGGCAACAATGCATATGAACTTATAAATCAAATCGGGCAGAGATTATCACAATTGAAGTGATGACCAAGTTGGTAACTCATGCATTACTGCAAGTGTTCACCTCTTTGCCAAGGACGCAAAGATGGGTGACGCCATAAGAAGACCAACCATAAATGCAGATGAAAGAACACCATCTTGAAAATTGCTCAATTTAAAATCTCCCCTGTAAAAAAATACTATCGTAAGCCAAATACAGCCCACAAATGTGAGGAATTGTGACTGTCTGTCAATTACAGCCAATAAATGTGAAAGCATATGCTATTAGATAACTACCAGCATGAACCCTAAAAAATTCATGGGTCTTAAACACCGATCATAAATGAATTTAGCTTCTTGATAAATAAATACTATAGGCACCAGATACACGGTAGCATGCAAGATCAATATTAAACCAATTAAGGGCCCAAAACTCATAAAACAATCATTAAAATTCTTACTGAATTCCGCTACCCGCGCTGCAAATTCCGCTATCATCACAAATCCCAATACTACCATTGACACCATTGCTCGCTATTGCTCCTCGATCGACATAATTTATCATGTTAATTGTACAGAGCATTACGAGCAACCTGTAAAGAAAATATTCAATCACATTCCACAAGCAACAAGTTGTTACATTTAAACTCAGCATGAAATTTCAAAATTTTACTAGCTGAATTGCATTTTTTAGGCCGAAGTGCCTACCCAGATCAACAAAATGAAGAAAACCCAAGAAATTTCAATTGAAATGGCCTTTTGAGGGAAATTGAGTTGGAAAGTTTTTACCTTTTTGGGGAGAACCATGATGGGTTCGGAGCTGAGACTGAGATTGGGCTCGTCGTCATCTGTGGGTTGAAAGGGTTGGACGATTGGGTTGGCTTTGCAGGTGGTTGGTGGTGTTGTTGTTGTTGTTGTTCCGATTGCGCCATGCTGACATGAAAGATCTCATCAGAGAGGAGAAGGACAGAGAGAGAGAGCTTACATATTCTTGATTGTTACGCAAGCAAAAGACCAGACCCTCTGCCCCTGTCTGGCCCCTCTCTCTGTCTCTCCTCTCTCAAGAAGGATTTTCTTTTTTCCTTTGCGTTTTACTCTTTTGCTTTTACCATTTATTTTATTTAACGTTGTGAATGAAACTCATTTTCATCCATTATTGAATAAAGAAAAGTAATAAAATTCTTATTTACCAGTCAAAAGACAGGTAATGAGGCAAAAACAAAAAACAAAAAGAATATCAAAAGGATCTTGTAAGTTACTTCCCAAGTGATCTACATTACTAATGGCATAACAATTTCCATTTTCCATTGTTTTATATAAATGGAACAAAATACTGGAAAATAAAAATTTGGACAAATGGATATGACAGTTCATCTATACAAAAGTGAGAGTGTTTATTAATTTGTATAATTTAAATTCATGTATCATACCGTAAACAAAAAATTTGTTAGATTTATTTGGATGGTTCTTGGCATGCTAAAGTGAGATATTAATTTCTATTCAAATTATAACACGGGTAAAGTTTTAAGTTCAAATATTAATAGCATATAATGTGGATGAATTTGATGCACAACGTCACCATCTCACGAGATGTGTTAGATGCACACAACAATTTCTCTACATACACCACTTTCTTCGTTTTTCTTTTTTGTATTTCTAAGATATATATTTAGGGTAATTTTCACTTTACTACTCTAAAGTTCACTGAAATTTTTTTCGTCTTAGTCACATACACAAGTGATTTTCCTATCATTTTCATACCTACCATCGGTCTTTCCATTAACAAGTACTTGTGACTCGAAAAGAAACAGCTTAAAATTTCCCAAAAATAAACAACGCTTGAAAGTTTTCAAATTATAAATAAATAACTAAATAAAAGGAAATCTAGACTCGCCCAAACATCTGTCGACAGATGCAGTAGTACCACTTCCCATTAACTAATTTAGTAAACAGTAACAAAAAGAAAACTAATTTATTAAACTGCACTAGAGGTTATAGAGATGTAAAACAAGCCCCTTTCAACTTATTATGTGCTAAAATTAGCTTATTACACCAAAAATGTGGTGGCTTCTTTTAACTCTTATAACATATCATTCCACCCCACACTAATGACAAGGTTGGCCTAACGGATCTATTGTTAGATCCATGTAGTCTTGATAAATCAATAGATACAGAAACTGAACTTTTGCAGATACCCATTCGGTTTAGAAACTGTACATCCCTACAACCTACATACAGCAATACGCATGTGCACTTCAACATATATTTACATGCACTTTTACAAAAGCTTCACAAATTCTTTACGGCTGTATAAGCAGAAGCATGGATGTCACAGCACTCAGCATCCCATGAGAAGTCCATTTCCATGGCATCCATTATCTTTCTCTTCCACTTTGACGGGTTGTTTCTCTTCACATAGACAGGAGAACAGATTTAAAGAACATTAGCACCTTGTTAGCAATTTCCTATAAGTGGAGAAGAGAATCTGAAAATTTAAAGAATTACATACAATTTCATCCAGGGCTTGGGTTATAGACATATTTCCAAAAGTAGAGCTAATGAAACGTGAGAAGTTAGTGGTCTCATAGTCATGTTCCACAAAGTTCCTGTTAGAAGATATCGCCAACAGAGACATATAAGTATCCTTTAATTGAAGAATGGTGCAAGCAAAAGCATATCCAACGATAGCTCTCATGTTGAAGAAGAAACATTACCTGAACCCGTCATCATTGGAGTTTACTGCAATTGGAGCGGCCCCGTACTTTAAAGCCTTTAGCTACATAAATGAGTACATGGACATCAGACGAGGAAAACTACTTCCTTGTACCACTTCCCAGGAAAATGATAAAGAATTACAATTAAAAGCAAAAAAGAAAACAAGCAGGGAAACTAGACAAAAAGAGAGAACTAACTGGAACTTGGAGGACAGGATCATGAAAAGATTGGCATAAGATAATATCAGATCCAGCGAATATCAAATGTGATTGCTTTTCATCATGTCCATCTATGAATCGTACATTTTTATCCTGCACCCATACGGTAACTCAAAACATATATGATAAGTTGCATAGGTTGAGGTAATGTGAGAATGACGATAAATAAAAAATTTGATCTCTCACTTTTTTTCCCTTACGAATTGCATTTTCTTTTGCCAGATATATTTTTTTAGAAAGATTCCCCATTGGATAAATAACAACCTAATGGGTTATACTTATAAAAATTATATATAAAAAAAAGAGCCTCATAATTATAACTATGGATTGCATTTGGTTTGAACATAATGGGGTCTGCTGAAACTTGTCTTAAGACGGAAAAGATCAAAACACAAAAGCAAGATTCTATAATGCTTTGCCACAAATGCAACTACTAACACAATGTCAAGGAACTCAATTAACAAGAGGCTAAGCATTCTGTACCTTCAGTGGTTCATGCAACAATCCCAGCTTGTTTACACTTGATATTTTTCTTATCCCCTTAATGATGAACTGTAGGAAGACACTTAACAATCACGTCCAGGAGAAATAATCAGGAAGAACGAGAAACTTACAGAGCAGATGCTATAGAGCCTTCACAACCAAGCACATTAACCATTACTTCTTTTCCAATTCATTTTGAAATTACCCTTGGCATATCCACTGGTAAGGGCATTTAGCAAGTCCCAGCCACTAAGCCATGCATTTTTCTGATGAGAAAAGTTAAAAAGGGGGGAAGTAACTACCTGCACGTCAATCCTCCTAGCTTTCCGAAATACTGCCCTCAGGTTCTCCAGATCAACATCTGATACTTCAGAGAAGATGCATCCGACCTGATAAACATTTCTCATAATTTGTTGACCTTTCCATTAAAAATCAGGAAGCAAGTGTAAAACCATGCATAGCAATTAAGTAAAAGAAAGATAAAACGAAAATAAAGTTAAGTTATTAAGAAGACAAGGCTTCTCAGAAAAAGCAGTCCCAGACCCTAGATTAATTTCGAAAATTAAGGTTAACTTGTAAGTCATAACCAAAATTGGGTTACAAATCAAATATGATGCAATTGGAACTCTGACGACATCCAATTTCTCAAATAAGTTACTCCTCCCCAAATAAATAGATCCACAAGACATCTAATACTACCGGACATGACTTTTCCAAATCCAAATATTATATAACCTTCATAACAATTAACAATCAACATAAAAGAACACAAGATGAAAAAGGGCACAGATCTTATCCATGAATTCCGGTTTTGTCATTGTTTTCACCCACATAACAACTTGGTTACCTAAGCAATGAAACATCGTAACACACCAAGTGCAAGTTAACAAAAACCTTAGTGTTTAGTGCGCACATACAAGAATAGTAGAAGCATGCTCAGAAAACCCAAGGTGCTGCTGCAATGCAGCTTTGCAGACTGCTTTCCCTTTCATATGCTTCACACCATACTGTTGGGGAAGAAATTTGTCTGTAGACGGATCCCAAGTGGAGTTGTCAAATCCACAAGGAGCAATAACCACTTTGTTTCTGCAAGCAAATTGAAAACAGAAGGTAAAAATGCTTTCAGCACAAGAAACCCAAAAAGAAAAATCTGCAAGGATGTTTGATTGAGCTACTTACTTGTGAATGTTTAAGGTATGATCCAACCCATAACTCAGACTATGAATAACCCTGCCTTTTGAACGTATGGATGACATAATGACAACTTTATTGGAGTAAACAACTCCACCCTACAAATTTATAGAAAATATAGCTTTGAGGTATGGTGGACATGTAAAGGAAACTAGAGCTTCCAATAAAGGGTCTTTGAAGTGCGGGTAATAATATTGAATAACAAATTAACAGGGTTGCAAAACCAGTACATCATTTCAATCTTTTGTTTTAATGGTTTCTCCAAGCTTCTATGGAAGCAGAAATTTCTGGGAATACAATGCAAAAGCAAACACAAAAGAATTATAGCTCGTGGGTTGTGAACTGTTCAACAATAATAAGAACTTATTAACTTAGCCTTTTTTCACAATTGTACAAAATAAATTACATCATAACCAAGGCAATATCCATCCAGTTGTCTGTTAAACAATAGATCATTCATAATGTCACTAGATCAAAGCTAGTAATGCATTCTTATTTCAAGTCAAATTTGGGAAGGGAAACAATTCTCAATCCCATATTGTTGCATTGTCAAAATTGGAAAAAAAGAAGAAGGCAGAAAGTGTATCTCACATTCCATTTAAGGAAAAGTAGTGCCTTTAATTTCACAATACTATTCATGTTGCAACTGAAAAACATCTATCCAACTGTATATATCATGCTTCAGTTCCATTGTGTCTAGGCCTGTCATATCACAAAACATTATCAAGAGAAGAGAGAATTGGCTATGGTATATACCTTCAAAACATTTACCAGATGTGCCTTGGTAGTATCTTGCAAACGATCAGGACGGTGAAGTCTAGCAGGATCAAGTCCACATAACGCTAGTTTCTCCGGATGCTCAAGACACTGAAGTATTAAAACACAGAGCTTAATAAATTGGATCCATGGGAGTATGTAAAGTCAGAAAGGAAAACATACAGCTACTTGCCTGTGAATTGAGGTCGTGGCATGTCAATAGAACTCTTGTACCTTCAAGTCCCTATATATATGAGCAAAAACAATCACACAGTGGAAATGGTTTCAAACCAAGAATAAATAAATAAACGTTCTTCTCTTCCCTGCAAGAACCAGAAGTGGGTGAGAAATAAAAAGAGATGCAATATGTGTTAAACATATTGCCTGTCCCATGTGATGGAATACTAAAGTAGCCGGTGCCATCAGTGGTGTTATGTAAGGTATTTAGTTCGGGTCTTCCATGTTGTCCAAATAAAGTCTTGCCTTTCTACATCCTTTACCAATTTCTTTAAGCAAGGTGCCAGTTGTACAACACAGAACAGATATGTTACTATGTAAGCAAGCTGTTAGATTCATACCATCTTTCCAACCACAACATGTTTTCCAAAATTCACACTCTCAGAGACTTTGGCCACAATTTATATCCAGAGTTAAGATGCTTCCTTGTCCGATAATTATTAAGTAGCTGAACTAAGTCACTAGTTAAGTAAAAGCATCTCAACCCTTGAATTAA